GGCAAAAAAAGGGGGATTTATCGGGGGACCGGGAAGGTGAAAGCTGTTTGGAGACCTCTTTGGGGGGGGGGGGGGGAAAAAAGGTATTTTTATTTTAACGTCATCAGAACAGCTTTGTTAGCTTAACAGCTTGCCTGTGTTTACAGTGCCAGTAGTTAGCAAATGGACAACCTTTGCGATTACAGAAAAATTATCACCATTGGAAAATTATTTTAAGCTTTTAATTTAATGCTTCTCAGAAGAGACAGTGGTTTCTCAAGAACAAAATGTTTCAAAAAGGCTTTACCAGCAGGCTGAGTTTTGCTACTCTTCAGCATTAAACAGCGCAAAAGAAATGGCAGGTTTTGGCGCAGACCTCATTTGCAAGTACCCAAAGCAAATTTCCAACAATTAATTTAAAAATAATTTCCAGCCACTTGGAAATAATTAACACTGAGATTTAAAATAGTGCATTTCAAATAATTATCCAGAGCAAATGGGTTAGGAGGGCAGGTCAGAGGAGCTAAGAGGAGCGTTTCTTCTGCTTTACATGTAACTCTAGTCCTAATGATTTTTTTTTTCTCCTTCTTGCTTTTTTTAAATATTAAATTATTAAAATTATTAAAAGCATAAATCACCTTGTGCTGGTCTCAAGGTTTGAGAGGTATTACAGCCAGTCCAGTCCAAGCTGACCTCTCCCTATGCACCCCACTCCCTGCATTTGTTCCTCCATGAGAGGCATTCGATGCCACAGCATCAAAGCACATCATGAACCAACAAGGTCATTTCTTCAGTGGAAAAAAAGGAAGCAAATATGAGAAAAGAAAGTCTTATATTAGCAAGGCTGAAAAAAGTGTGAACAGTCATCCATCACACTGCGGTATTTTTAAACCTGCTGTGACAAAGCCTGCCGAAGATCGGGGCACGGTTTCACCAGATGCTGTCAGCCAGCGTCAGGTCGGTGCCACCGAAGGCCCGTCACGGTGGGCTGAACCGGCTGGCCGGGGCTTCACCGGAGGGTGGCACAACCAGCAACGGGAGGGCTGGATCACACCGAGGGACCAGAGCAGCCAGACATCGCCCTCCTACAAGCCATCAGCCGTCCTCTCAGCTCAGCTGCCCGAGACTGCCGACACGCTGTGGCCGGAGAGGAGACACGGACCTGCCCGAGCAGGTTCGACCCAGCAGCGGAGCAGCTCCAACGTGGGCCGGGTCGCTCCCGAGCCGGCAGCGTTATCGGGGAACAACGCAGTCAGGTGGGAGACTCACTTTGACAGAAGGACCTTAGGGGACACCCCTCAAAGCAGCTCAGGCAGCAACATCCAGGGAAACAGTACACAACTAAATTTATTCAAGAAAACGTAGTTTTGTGCGGTTTGGCCACTGGTGCAGCAGAAGAGGCACCTCAAAGGTCCTCAAGCCTACTCAGTATGGTAGCTACACCCTCTTGAAAGCCTCACAGAGAGTCCTGGAGCACAGCTGGGACGGCCGCAGCTTCACACAGCGACACTAGTTAAATCCAAGGATGCAAAAGCCAGAACAAGACGGTCTGGCCCATGCAAAAGCCGTCATTTACATTCCTCCATTGCCACAGTGATTTACAGTCCCGTCCGCTCTCGTGCTAAAACAACAGCGGCAGGCAGAGCACATCAGAGGCGTGTCAAGACCTGTGATAAATGTAATGTTTTCCTAAGAAGTAATGACACCATTGGCACATTTCTGCCATAACCTAGGAAAGAACACGAGAAACATAACCGGTGTATTTGCCAGGAGAGGGGCAGAAAGCAAAGGCTGGCACCCCAAATATCACGACTACCCCAACCCCACAGCCTGTCATCACACGGGCTAGAAGGCGTCTCACCGTTTTAAAATCGATGATACATTAATCTGGATATTCAATGTTTGGATTCTTTGAAGATCTTTCCATTCCCTCTCTCATTTTAGTTTTAAGTTATTCCTCAATATACAAGAAAAGTTGAAATTCTGTTTGGAAAAAAGAAAAAATTAACTGAGACTTATTTTTTCTGTTTCTGAGAAAAAGACAGACCAGAAAACATTTCCACATCTCCTATATACGCACTAGGTAAATCTGAGAATGTACTCCAAAATTTTATTAGTAGAGCAAGTCTTCTTTTCAAAGAAGCAGAAGAAAATAAAAAGAAATACTTCAAGTATTCCGGCGTCATCTTTTCTCCATATTCAACTCCATCTTGAAAACTGACTTTGACCGGCATGGTCACAAGCAGTAACACCACTCCTCACCCACCAGTCCCTTCATTTTTCAGCCTTTCTCTAGCTTGCTTAAGAGAAGCGATCTTCTCAACACCTGTCTTATTTCTTTAACTACTTCGGGTGAAGAATTCCCATTTAAGGAAGAAAAAAGACAGTATTTCACTACAGGCACAACTGGAAACTTTGAAAAACAAAGTTAAAAGCTAAAGAAAAGTATCCTTCAAGCTACATCACGTTTAAAAACTTCAGCTGTGACTTCTGAAGGACTAAAATCAAAACTTGAACCGGTTTTAAAACCTGTCCAGCTTTAGTTAACTCAAAAGCTGGAATGAATATTTTGCAGCTCCTTTACGACTCAGACACCTGCAGCTCGGCAGACTTGTAACCAGCGAACCCAACACACTCCCCGGTTCTAGGCACGGATCCTCTCTTTAATGAAAAGGCTAGATCTCACAAAATCCCTGTGCACCTAAACCCTCCGAAGCAGAGCTGAGTTTTTGCACAGTCCATGTAATTCGGAGGCAGACGCACCCCTGAGGACCGAAGTCTCACGTTAAATGAATGGCTGACACGTGAAAGCCTCTCTGGAGAAGGCACTTCTCTCCCAGCTGCTTCTTCACATACTGCAACCCACACGAAAACACAAGTGCACTCCACAGCAAGTCAAAAACTTCAAAGAATTACCTGAGCTCCCCGCGGTTAATAAATATTGCAGATATTTGTTCATGCTGTACTTGAGGCTTTTAATATCTGCTTGGTACGGCTAAGACACTCCGGCAAGGCTCATGGCACAATACCGCTGACCATGTGCTGACACAGCACTTCCTGGGCTGCAGAGATAATTAGGGCAGGACTTACCAACCCAAAGTCCCGCCTTCACCCTCATTTACTCCCAACTCGGGCTCGGTTTTACTTCAGTGTCTGCGGGGGCTTTCTGACTGTTTTCTTCTTCCCTAGCGCAACTGCTACCATCTTGGGGAATTTTCTGACATCGGAATTTCCCTGCTCCCCACCTGCACATGTTGCTTTTTACTTGATTTGAGCACTGCAAGTTGGGCAGCACAGCGGCTTCCCCAACGGCGACCCCAGGGTCATGCTAAGCGATCCCCCCGTCCAGCCAGGCCCCCCCAGCCGGAGCCCAGGGCCACCCCACTTCTCCAGCCCCACGGCCCAGACTTGGTCCCAGCAGGGAAGGTGGCTGCAGGGTGGGGGGACGACCCGGCCCTGCCCGCAGCCCGGCACGGCTGCCACTCTGGCATGACGTGAGCCGACCCACCTCGCCGGCACTGGGCAGCCAGGGAAAGCGGTTTGGGAAACTCCGGAGTAGTGAACTGTGCTTCCCACTTCCCCAGCACTACCGCAGCACTGCGGCGTTCGATTAAAGAATCAGAGGAAGTGTTTACATCATAGAATGGTTTGGGTTGGAAGGG